ATAGCTGCTCGAGCCCTTGCTTGTAGCTCTGCCCGACTATGCTTTCAGCTCACTTGTGGGCTTAGCTGGCCAGTAAGTTCCCCCCTTTTTCTACCTTTCTAATTTCTTTTTATTTTCTTCATTTATCTCAAAATAAAAATATTAAAATTATATAAATTTATATGAAATCACATTAATCAACTAAAAACCACTTTTCATAATTTAACATAAATATAAGTCTATTTTTCATGAGTTAAGACTAAAATTCTATTATTAATTAATTATTAACTCATGATAATAAAGACTTAACACATCCCCTAAGTTAAATTATTACTAGTCCCTTAGCAATGAAATTATGAATATTAATAAAAAATTACAAATTTCAAACATCATATTTCAATACATAAAAATACAATTAGAAAAAATGCACTTCTAAACACTTTGGACACTTATATCAATTATTTAAGAATGATGTCAAGTACTTAAATGTCTAAGCACTACTGAGAATAAAAATCTAGACTTCACTTATTTTATTCACATCTTTATCACTTCTTCACTCATAGATATAATTCACAAGATATTTTAATTATCAATATTCATCAAAGAATAATATTTGATCTTACATTTTTCCTTTTTTCATGACTTGACTTTTGAAGTTTGTACTATATTTGTTCTATTATTTTCTATAGTAGATAAATAACTTTTCTTGTAAACAATTTTTACAATAAGAATGATGTCTCACACCCTTCATGTGTACTTTTCATTTTCAAGGCTTTCATATTATTCACTTATTTTACAACAAGTGTTTTTATGTAGATAAATTTCGAGAATGAGAATTATGTATCACACCCTCTATGTGTACTCTTCGTTTTCAAATTTTTCACATTACTTTTTTTAAAAAAAAAATTAAGTAAATAATTTTTACGCACAAGTCCTATGGATGAGGGTGTAAAAATCATCATTAAGCTCAAATGATCAATCAAATTTTCACATCAAGTAAATATTATTCATCAAGATCATGAAGTAAAAATTTATAAAATAAAATCCATGTTATCTATCATGTATCTAAGGAGTATTCTAACATTTCATGCTACTAAATCATTCTTTTAACTCAATAATAATCCTCCTAATATCTTTTGGTATCAATCAATCTAATTGATTTATTTTTTTGTGCATGCAATATGATGTAATAAATTTGTAAATTAGAAAGTTTTGACAACTCTGCTTTTCGTTTTCTATTATATTTTTAGAAACAACAGATTTGTCAAAAATAAATTAAAACTATTCTCTTTGTAATTCTAATTTTGAATTTTAGTAATAATGTCTAAGAGATTGAAATGTGAGAAAAGGGTATCAAGAATATCAAATTTTAGACTACTTTTTCTACTATTTTTGACAATTTGTAAATTATTTTCTACTATTCTTGACAGAAAACCAAAAAATAGATGTTGTAGTTTTTCTGAATTATTTTTTTAGTTGCTTTTCTAGGTGAGCATGAAAATAAATGTAAAAACCATGTTTTTAATCGTCCTACAGCATAAATTCAGAGTTAATACTTCACCCCACAACTTAAAAATAACATTCTCCTCAATGACACAGAAAAATTAGAACTAAATATGTAGAAAATATAATTTTTAAATGAAGCATGCATATATGCAAAGTTAAGTACTACAAATGTTGTCATAAATGATAAAGTTCAAAAAAATATCACCTCAAATGTTGCCTCCCATGTAATATTGAATTTAATGTCTCTAGCTAGACACATCAATCTTACTCTTAAATTTATTTTAATAATAAAAATTATTTTTCTAAAAGGCATTCATGTTCTATGTAATTTTTAAGCCGCTACATTTACCTTAAAGTTATGATCACTTTTAGGATCTTTAATTATTACACACCAATGATCATATGTATCTTTCACCACACTTTTTGTCCAACATAAAAAATAAAATTGCTAATACATTTATCATGAAAGGTTTTAGTTTTTTTCTTTATATATTCTATGATTTTCATAAGCTTTATTTTTCAACTCTAATTTATGTAGTTAAAAATTTCTATGTTCACCAGCTGATTATTTAGTCATACATAAATTTTTTATAGCTCATAATACTTTATGCTCTATTTTCATAAGAAGGTGACATGATTTTTTAAAAATGAGACGAAATAGGGACATACCTATGGGATTTTTATAAGCTGTTCTATAAGTCTATAATACATTTTGTAATTTTGTGGGGCAATCTTTCTTATCTAATTTAATTATTTTCCTCAAAATTCTCTAAATTTTCCTATTTGTTACTTCAGTTTACCCATTTGTTCGGAAATGATATGGAGTGGTTACTCAATGACGTATTCTATTCTTTTTCAATAGTTCTTTGAAATGTTTATTTATAAAATCTGTTCCTCCATCACTAATAATCACTATAAGACATCCAAAACTTGAAAAATTATTTTCCTTCACAAACTTCATTAAGATTTTATGATCATTAGTTTTAGTAGGAATAGTTTTCACCAACTTAGACACATAATTAACAACAAGCAAAATATATTCATATTTTTCAACTAATAGGAAAGGACCTATGATGTCTATAACTCATACATCAACAATATCAACTATTAACATGTTACTCATGAGCATTTCATCTCTTTTATTCATGTTACCTATAGATTGGCATGTAATAAATGTTCTACTAAATTTCATATAATCTTTAATTATTATAGGCCAATAAAAACCACACAGAAAATTTTTTGCAGCTATTTTTTGTCTACAAAAATGTCCTCCACAATTAGATGAATGACACATGTTATTAATGATATGACATTCTTCATCAAGAACACCTCCTTAAAATTTGATCATTGTTCAAGTAATATAAATCAGGATCATCCCAAATATAATTTATAATATTAGAAAAGAAATGATTTTGTCTATTCTTATTCCACTATTCTTGAATTTTTCCAGAAACCAAAAAATTGACAATATGTGCATACCATGGTGATGGTCGATGTTGAACTGCCATCAATTGATCATTTGGAAATGCATCTTGTGAAAGTGTTGCTTCCTATATCACTCAATCTAGAATAATGGTCAGCAACAACATTCTCGAAATCTTTTTTACTTTTTATTTCTAAGTGAAATTCTAAGAATAATAAAATCCATCTTAATAAATGTGGCTTTACATCTTTTTTATTTAAGAAATATTTTAATATTGTATCATCAGTACAAATAATAATTTTAACTTCTGAAATATATGATCTAAAGCTTTCTAATGAAAATATTATAGCTAGCAACTCTTTTTCAATCGTGGTATAATGTAATTGAGCATTGAATATAGTTTTGTTAACATATGAAATTACTATGGATTTTGACTCTTTTCTTTGTCCTAGTAAAGCTCCCACTACATAATTTGATACATCGCATATTATTTAAAGGGGAAGAGACCAATTATGAGCTTATAAAATGAGTGCCTCAATAAGTAATATTTGTATTTCAGAAAAAAACTCAAAACATTTCTCATCAAAATTAAAAGGCACATCTTTAGATAATAACATGGTGAGAGGTTTATGAATTTTTGAAAAATCTTGAATAAATTTTTTATAATAACCTGCATGATCCAAGAAAGAATTAATATATTTTACTAAATTTAGAGGTTTTATTTTAAAGATAATATCAATTTTTACTCTATTCACATCTAAACCCTTTTTACTCACAATATGATCCAACACAACTCTCTCTCTAATTATAAAATATAATTTCTCCTTACTCAAAACTTTTTTTTTTTCTATTCATCATTAAAGACTTTGCTAAAATCTCCAAACCCCTTACTAATTTACTTTCTAAAGATGTCAATTTCATTTTTGATGATAACGCTAAAACTACCTTTCTACAGATCAAGGAAGCTCTCATTCAAGTGCCTATTTTGTAGGCCCTTAATTGGAATCTTCCATTTGAACTCATGTGTGATGCTTCTGATTTTGTAGTTGAACTAGTTTTAGGTCAAAGGGTGGACAAGAAACATGCAGCCATCTATTATGCTGGTAATATCTTAGGAGATGCAAGGTCAATTATTCTACAACTGAAAAAGAATTGCTAGCAATTATCTTTGCTTTAGAAAAATTTCGTTCTTATTTATTAGGTAGTAAAATAGTTGTTTACTCTGATCATTCTACTTTGAAATTTTTACTTAGGAAGAAGGAAGCTAAACCTAGACTAATGAGATGGATTTTATTGCTATAAGAATTTGATTTAGAGATTAAAGATAGACCTAGGCATGAGAATGTAGTAGCTGATCATTTATCTAGACTACATTTTGACTCACCCTTACTCATTTTAGATTGTTTTCTTGATGAACAGATCTTGGAGGTGCAAACTGGAAATTACCTTGGTATGCTCACATAGTAAATTACTTGGCTGCAGGTCACTTACCAAATGATTGGGATATTAATGATAGGAAAAAGTTATTCAAAGAATTAAAGTATTATTTTTGGGAAGAACCTAAGTTATTTCATTTGGGAGTCAACCAAATCATTAGGAGATGTGCCCAATGAAGAACAGTGGAGGATTTTAGAAGCATGTCACTCTTCTCCATATGGGGGTTACTTCTCGTCTAAGGTCATAGATGTCAAGATCTTGCAAGCTGGCTTTTATTGGCCAAGCTTGCATAGAGATTGTTGAGTTCTACAAAATTGTTTGAAGTACCAAGCTGCTGTGAACTTGCACAAGCAAGATCATATGCCTTTGCAGCCAATTATTGAGGTTGAGGTTTTTGATTTGTGGGGAATAGACTTCATGGGCCTTTTTCCACCTTCTGAGGGTTATGAGTACATTTTGATGGGAGTAGACTGTGTCTAGATGGGTAGAAGCTATCCCCACCAAATCAAATGACCATAAAGTAGTACTAAAGCTTATTTTGCAGAATATTATCAGCAGGTTTGGATGTCTAAAGGCGAACATTAATGATGGGGGTAGCCACTTCAATAATTTTCAATTTAGAAATTTACTCAAAAAGTATGGAGTTCATCATAAGATGAGCACTCCCTACCATCCTCAAGCCAATGGACAAGTAGAAAGTAATAGAGAGATTAAAAACATTTTGAAGAAAATTGTAAAGCCAGATGGTAAGGATTGGGCAAGTCGACTCTATGACACTTTATGGGCTTATAGGACTGCTTATAAAATGCCCTTAGGTATGTCACCATATAGAGTGCTTTATGTCGCCCTTAGGCATATTGGGCTATTAAGAAACTTAACCTCTCTCTAGATGATGCAGGTAAGAGTCAACTTTTGCAGCTGCATGAACTTCAAGAACTTAAGAATGAAGCCTATAAAAACTCCATCATCTACAAGGCCAAGATGAAGAATTTCCACAACAAGGCCTTGAGGAAAAGGAATTTGCATGAAAATCAGAAAGTGTGGCTTTATAACTCTCACTTGAAACTATTCCCTGGGAAATTAAAGTCCAGATGGAATTGCCCCTATGTTATCACTGAAATTTTTGATTCAGGTGCAGTTCTCATCATAGATCCAAAGACAAGACATGATTTCAAGGTCAATGGACAGCAGTTGAAGCCTTATCTTGAGGTAGAACCACCACTAACAATTGTCTCCTTGATTTTTCAGGATATACCTAAGGATCATTGTTGTGACTCAGTCGTTGTATATTAAATCACGCAAATATAAAATTTATAAAACTAGAAAATACGATTTTTTGGATATTTAGAAGTATAAATATATCAATTATAATTCAATAAAAATTCCAAAAAATATCGGTAATTTTCCAGGTCAATCACAGGGATGTAATATAATATCTGGTAATTATTCAGAATTTTTCTCAATGAATACGATTTTCTTACAAATTTTATACTAGGAAATAAAAAAGAAATATATTTAAAATTCACGAAAAAAAAGGAAATAAGGGTGCGGGCGTCATGATGACGTCAGCGCCCGGCGAACGCGAATCAGGCGGAAACAGAGTTCCGCCTGGTGATTCTTACGTAAGCGATTACGGACGATTTAATTGATCAAATTAAGATCTGTAAAAGCCGAAAGAATCGTAATTGAACGAAGTATAGTTTGGTAAATTAAAATCACACAAAGTATCACTAAATGAAGCGTAAATTAAATTGAAAGCAGTAAAACAGAGTTCTAATGTCGCGACGGCGATGCGTCGGTGATGTACCGGAATCTTGAGCATTCGGGAGGATCATCGTGCAGTGTCTACGGCCTCGAAGGCTCTCCTTGGACAAAGATGACGTGGGCAATCTCTAGATCTTCTCGCAAAGTCTAGAGATCAATGAAGTGGGTCGTCGAATCATCTCTGGCGGCTGTCACCCGGCGGAGAAGAAAAACAGCGACTTTGCGGCTCTCCGGCGGCTGTCACCCGACGGAGAGGAGCTGGATGGAGGTGGGGCGCGTGTTAGGGAGCTTCATCTTCAGGTCCGCACAGCAAGAGGAGGCTCTTCATCGCATCTGGTACGCTCTCAGGAGGTGGCGACTGGTCTCCCGGCGGATCGTCCTCTTCTCGACGATGGCTTGTTCGTCAATCAATCAGAGATGATTTACTCGATAGATTCGCGATCCTTTTATCGCGAATCGTTTAGAAATTTTAGTAGCAATGCTCCGCGAATCACGTTGACGAGATTTTCGCCGATGATCTAGCGATTCTCGTTGCTTAATCCTTCACTGACGATCTGTAGGAAAGTCGCGATAATCAGATAAAAATATATGAATTTTGACTCTGGGAGGATTCGAACCCGCACCGATAGCCTGCCTCTTCTGAAGAAGGTGTGGGTTTAGTCCTACATCAGTTGTACGCCGATTTTTCGAGCGAATAGATAGTAATGTTCGCTATGTGACCAAAGCCCCTTCTCTAGTGTGTACGACCACTCCTTGCCCTATAGCCGGCTGCCCGCTGGTGATGTGGAAGGGAAGTGGTGTACGCGTACCCTGTTGGTCCCAAAGCCGAGCTGCTCGAGCCCCCGCTCGCGGCTTACTCCCCGACTGCACTTCCGACCCGCTTGCGCAGGCCCGGCGGGTCCTTCCTGTTTTTGCAATATTTTTATTTTTATTTGTTCTTCATTTATCTCAAAAGTAAGACTGTAAAAATCGTATAAAATCACATAATTACCCAAAAATTCACGTTAATCAATTAAAAACCAAAAATCATTCTTTAACACAAATATAAGTCTATTTATCATGAGTTAAGGCTAAAACTATATTATTTACTAATTATTAACTCATGATAATAAAGACTTATCAATCATCCTCAAATTTAGACTTTCTACCTCACATTTCTATCTCACAACTTTTGAACTTAGCCCCTTGTCTTATTATTTAGATTTTGAAGTTTTCTTCCTCTTATTTGAATAATGTGGCATACACATACCCTGTCGGTCACCAAGCCAAGCCGCTCGAGCCCCTACTCGTGGCTTACTCCCCGATTGCGCTTCCGACCCGCTTCCGACCCGCTTGTGGGCCCGGCGGGTCCTTCCTATTTTTGCAATATTTTTATTTTTATTTGTTCTTCATTTATCTCAAAAGTAAGACTGTAAAAATCATATAAAATCACATAATTACCCAAAAATTCACGTTAATCAATTGAAAACCAAAAATCATTCTTTAACACAAATATAAGTCTATTTATCATGAGTTAAGGCTAAAACTATATTATTTACTAATTATTAACTCATGATAATGAAGACTTATCAATCATCCTCAAATTTAGACTTTCTACCTCACATTTCTATCTCACAACTTTTGAACTTAGCCCCTTGTCTTATTATTTAGATTTTGAAGTTTTCTTCCTCTTATTTGAATAATGTGAGCTATTGTTGGCTTGCTTTTAATGCTCTCTTCGAATTGTTTGTGACTGATCAACTAGGGAGAAGTGAGGATAACTCCTAAAATTTCAGCTTCAGACACATCAATATAAGATGATTAGTACCTACACAAATCGGTTTGCATTTTCAGTTTTCCATATTCGTTTATTCTCTGCATTAGGGACAATGCACATAATAGTTTGGGGGGTGCTGTGAATGTGAATCTGAAAATATATCAATTCATGATGCATGCATATTTATTTCATTCTATATCTCGTGGCATGCATTCATCCTATTAATTTAAGCCCCATTTGAGAAACCTATCTCATCCTTGCTCTTAAAAGCATGAGGAACGAAGTTAGGCTCTTGTAGCAGATCAAAAGCATCTCTAAATGATATCAACCATGAATCTAGACACTTTTGATTAGTTTTTAAGTTACTAGGATATCTAGTAGGGTGAGGAACGGACATGAAAATCAAAGGGTAGAAGTACTATCATTGTGGAAAGGAGTGATGAGAGAATTGAGTGTAGCCATATCCCTGCTTGTTAGGTTGACCAGATCCTACTCATGTGTCTAGAATTGTCATTAGGTGGAGTCTTCATTTGAGAGAAGAAGTGGTCGTCTCTTCAAGTCCCAAGCACAGAATTACTTTCCTTTGAGCCACCTAAAGCTACATTTGGAAACCATGTGTACCAACTTCAAGTCACTAAGTACCAAATTTTCCCGTCCTCTATACCTATTATCCTTTATAAGAACTCATTTTTCATTTATTTCTCATGTTATAGTAATATTCTATTTACAACTAATAAATAATTTTCTCTCGCATGTACGACCACTTCTTGTCTCATAGTTGACTAGCCACTAGTGACATGAAAAAAGAGTGGCACACATGTGTCCCCATCGGTCTTAGTTACTTGAGCTTTTGCTCGTGGCTCTTTCCGACTTTACTTCCAACCTACTTGTGGGCCCAGTTGGTTGACATGTCTTTCCCTTTTATTATATTTTTATTTTAATTTCTTTTTTATCTAAAAAATAAAGCTATAAAAATTATATAAATTTGTAAAAAATCACATAATTAGTTAAAAATTAATATTAATTAATTAAAAATTAATTTTCATCCTTTACTATAAATATAAATCTATTTATCATGAGTTAAGACTAAAACTATATTATTTACTAGTTATTAACTCATGATAATGAATAATTATTACTTACTATTTTATGGTACTCAGTCACCACCACTCCCGTTCTCATCGCCCACCTCATTATCGTCGTATTGTCTCCTTGTCGTCCGCCCCATCATCGCCACTCCTTTTCTCGCCAGCCACCTCGTCGTCGTCTCATCTCCTTGTCATCTGCCCCATCACCGTCACTCCTTTTATCGCCAGCCACCCCGTCGTCGTCGTCCCGTCTCCTTGTCGTCCGCCGCATTACCGTCACTCCCCTTCTCGCCAGCCACCCTATCGCCGTCATCTCGCCTCCTCGCCGGCTGCCCCGTCACCGTCGTCCCACCTCCTCGTCTATCCCGTTGCCGTCGTCCCACCTCCTCGTCTATCCCGTTGCCGTCGTCCTGCCTCCTCGCCGTCTGCCCCGTTGCCGTCGTCCTGCCTCCTCGCTGTCCGCCCGTCGCCATCACTCCGGCTCCTTGCTGCCCACCTCATCGCTGTTGCAAACCCTCTTCTTTTCTCTCCTGCTGCCGCCACGAAACCCCATTTCCCTCTTTCTTGCTGACGCCCTCATTCCGCCACCTTTTTCTCCCTCACGACGAGAATGCCCCTCTCTCCCCCGCCGAAACCCTCTTCCTTCTCTCACCTGCCGTCGCCACGTACCCGCTCATTTTCTTTCTCTCTCTCTCCCACCGACGCCCTCTCTCTCTCTCTCCCCCCGCAGAAACCCTCTTTCTTCTCTCTCCCGCCATCGCCACGTACCGCCTCATTTCCTTTCTCTCTCTCTCTCTCTCTCTCCCGCCGACTCATTCCGCCTCTTTTTCCTCTCCCCACCTTTTTATTTATTCACCTCATTATTTTATTCTAATATTCTTACTATTCCTCATTTACACCTTTTTCTCCTCTTATAATTTTGATTATTCAAATACTTTGCGTACTTTACCTACCGAGCTCAAACCACTCATTTTCTTGAATCATCACCTATTGAAAAATCCCCAACAAGGCTCCTAGATCTCAAGCCACTAGAATAAAAAAAATCATTCAAGAATCTTCTTTGGCAAGGTACGTTGATTTCAATTCTTTTTATGGAGTGATCATTATTTTTATATCCTTGGTCCTTATAGGAATTGAGTGAACCATAAGATAGCCTAACACTCTTGATTGAAACTCTATCTGAATTCTTGAAAGTGCAGTTCTTCTCAGATAATTCTTCTAAAATCAGTAGGATTAACCTACTCATACTTCTCCTTAACTTAGCCAAGGATAATCTTAAATCCCAACTTTCTTTTCGGTATTGATATTTCTCTTTAGTCCTGCATCATCTTCACTGAAAAGAGAAGTGCAAAGAAATTTCATGTAAACAGAGCCTATGATGGATTAGATTTCCATATGTCCCTATTTGCGAAGTATCTTTTCCTATAACATTTCTTGCTTCAAGGAACCTTCCTACCCTTGATTCAGTCATGTTTGATCCCACTAGAGGCCCCAATAACCAGAGACGTAAGAGTAAGTCAAAAGTCTCTCTTTCCTCCATGGCCTAGGGTCTATTTATCTGCAGATATTGACCTCTTTTAATTGACTCCAACAACATTAATTTCTTATTTTCTCTCCTGGAATAGCGAGGCATCTAGACAAGAAAAGGACCACAATTCGGAAGCCATGCTTGTGAAGTGACTTGGTACTTTTTTGTTGGAGAGACTGTAAGTCATCTTCCAATGCATCAGTTACATCACAGATTGATATCCCGAGGGGCAGATGCCTTGATAACCAGGTGTATGAAGATGAAGGGAGAGGTATAACATCAGTTGTTCTGCTGCAGTTGACCTGTGTATGCACAGCTAATTTTTGGATGGCTTTACTAGGTAACGATGGATTATAGATGAGAAAATTTATCCTAGGTGCCTGCTTTATCCCAACTGAAATCATCCCCTTATTTCAGAACTCTCCTTTTTCTGCATTTTGATGCCATTTGAAATGGTCAACAGATCGCAAGGAGTATAAGCATCCCTCTCTTCAAGTACCTCTATAGAGGATAAGCCACCAGAGCCAACAGAAGGTCGTCTACCTGAGTAGGAGGTGAGTGGCATAACTAAGTGTGTGGCTCCTCCACTTTCTTCTTGTGCAACCAAGGAACGTTTGTTATATTTATATATATAAAGTTGATGGCTTTTCTATTCACTGTAGGATATCAAAGAAACGCCCGGTTCCCTTCATGGAGGAGTGAGAGCTATACGAAAGGTCGAATCTGAGTGGGTGTGGGCTCAGATATCTCTATCATTGATTTACATCCAACCCCATGGGGTCATGGAAACTGTGAACGGAGCACTGTAGTAACAGTTGCATTGATTCGTCAAAGAAATCAGCATATTTGATGATTTCATCCTAAGTTGGCGGAGGCGGCGTTTTAGCAATTAGTTCATCTTCACGAGTCATTTCATGTACTTTTTTCCGTGTGTTAGCTCAGAATTTGGCAGTGATCGTTTGGTAAGTCAGCCTTAACAATGAGTCAGTTAATTAAAGGTATCAATGGAGATGGGTGCAGTGGTAACGGCTCCGTTGATGATGAATGTGGCTCTCATGGACCCTCACATTGAAGGAGGATGTGAGGGTCCATGAGAGTAGTGGCTGTTCCGCTCCTTGAGGGGGCTCGTGGTGGTACGTTATTGTCATGCATGCTTGAGGTGATGTTGAAAAGTAGGGTGGCCGAAACACCAAGCTGGCGGGACAGCCGATGATAACAGCCGTGAGAGACATGAATGACCTCCTGTCAAATCGTCCAATCCGTCCACGCATCTCTCGCTTTCACGAGAGTCGCCCCCAGCCCCCCCGTTAAGAAGAGTTGACGTTTCTCTGGCAGCGCAAGAGGAAGTCTTGACGCCGTCGTGTTCAAGCTGGCTGGAACCCCATAAAGGCAGACACTAGGCGCAACCGACAGCCCCGAGGCGCCAGCTGTCCGTTTCGAGCCGAAAATAGCGAATTACGCGGTATAACAGCTTGCATGAGAGCCCCCACCCCCCGGTACGCAGCGCTAAGTGGGAACAACTGCTGCAGCGTCATCACAAGGCCTGGCTTGTCTCCGTACCGGTGACAGCTGGAAGGTACCGGTCCCCACTCGCCCTCCGGCGACGCACGCGACGGGGAGAAGGGCTTCTCAGGGCGCGTAGGCGGTGCTCCAGAACTGCCGTCGAGTGCCCCGGTCGAGGATCCGGAGGAGAACCTGGTTGCTGGTGCACCGTGGTGTCTTGAACTGCCCCAAGGTTCCCCCAATGCCGACAAAGTAGTCCAGTATCTTCTTGAAGGTGCCCGTCTCCACCACCCGGAGCTCCAGCGGTCCGATGGAGCCATTGCGCCTCAACTCCACGTAGCCGCACTCGGTGAATGCCAGGTCCATCACTCGACAGCACTCCTGCAGCACATCTTCGTCCGCCTCCCCCTTCACCTCCCAGTAGACAACGTAGTGCCCTCGCTTCTGCGCGCCGTCTCCGACGATCGCGTGACTGGTAAAATCGATCAGTTCTGACCTCGCTCGGGCCAGCAAGCGAGAGGCATTCTCCACGGCCAGCTGCAAGTCTTTCTCCGTGCTCCTGTCGACGTTCACGGTGAGGAAGACCTTCCTCCGGGAGACGAAGCTCAGTTGGGGGGCGCCCTTGTAGAAACCCCTTACCTCCACCACGTCTCCGAGCTTGTACCTGTACAGTCCTGCGACATGGAGAAATCGAGATGAGTTGCTCAAGCATTGGATGATAATACCTGGATCATGGACTGTATGTGAGAGAGGCACAGGGGGGAGATACACATGCCATTAACGTGAAAAAAGAGGTCGAGTGCAGATCACTGGATAATGACGTGTCTCTAGGGCTCATGCTGCTCGGGAAGACACCCACGCCATATGTCAGAGGCTCATCACGCACAAAGGAACCTTCCACTAAGGCATTTAAAAGTGTTCAGTCTAAATCCTCAAATTAGTTTTCGGTGAGACGAAACGAGGAGATGCGTCGGCCAGGGGCCACGAGTGCTGGCTGTCACGTCTACATTAGTGAAGGCCGGGATGCGATTAAATACACAATGAACGAGGAGATTTGAGAATCATATCAGGCAACTGTGAGCAAGAAAGGTGCAAATCGGGATAGCAACACGGAAGTTGGGTAAAAATGATGTCGGAAAGAGAAGAAATGACGAGGGTGCATGAAACATCTTCTGGGAACTTAAGGAATTCTTCTCTTGTACTGAGGCCGTTCGTTTCAAAATCCCTTATACGCTTGTCCTCACTGGAAGGACTCGCTAATAAGGCA